CTTAGTGATTGACATCCCTATGCAGGGCATTTTTGTAATGATAGTCCGTCATTTTTTGAAACGATCGGAGCATATAAGCTCTTAGTTTCTCTTTTGCCTAGAAATGGTAAATGCCTAATCTCAAAGATATTGAACGTCTTCTGACCTTCGTTTCGTATCGTTTCCGCGAAGAGGAAATGTCCAATTCACTTTTGTAGATTCTTGACCCTCTTGGCCAACGATTTGCAGCTACCTGCCAACAGCCGCCCAGTTCAGAAGTGGACAGTCAGCTTGTAGATCTCATTCAATGTATGGATGGCGTGGCGAGAGCTAGCCAACCGCATTCAGCTGCTATATTATTTAGTAGGCACCTTCAACGTTCTTATTTTTTTTAGTAAGATTTCCTTCTTTTAGAATTTTTAAGCCCTGTGTTGGAGAGTTGTGTTCCATTGATGAAGTCGCGGTCATACTCTCAACCAGTAGTAGCAGCTATTTTGACCCTTATTCAGAATATCACTACCAAAGTGTCGATTTATGTGGACGATAAGGTGAGCACTTGATGATTATATCGGTTTGAGGCTCAAAAAGATATAAGAAAGAATTACGCTAGTGGCATAGTTTTCTATCACACTTGCCGTTAACTTTGGGGCGCGCAAACAGCTGCCTCTTCGCGCTTCAGTGTCGTAAACACGCACGGATTACTGTCATAGAAAAGTATATTAGCGTTGTTCCCTTTCTTGTCAAAAAGGTAGGTGAAATAACTGCAGAATAGTTTTTTCCTAAAGTGGTCGCACAGGGCTAAAATCAGTTGCGAATCTTTGAACTATAATTAGTAATTCTCTTCTGCGATCATTGGTAGTTTAAAAATTATATATATATTTATTTATTTATTATAACTGTTGTACTCAAATTTTATCATGGAAAATTTAAGGAGGATTCGGCTACTTTATATCGTACTATCGTAATGATTGTCGATGTGTATCGATCGGAGCAAGCCTCACGCTTTGTTGGAATGACTGAAAATGACGAGGATAAAGGAAGCGACCTGGTATGCGTCTTTTGGCAGCCTTTACTAAATTGTCACTCAATTTTATCTACTTTAGGTGCTTTTCTTGGATATTTTGTCTAATGTCTTATCGAAAGATATCCTTGAAGGCGGTGAAGACAACATTGCTACTGGAGCTCAGGTAAGTGTAGTGATTGTTTCTTGCGATGATTAAATTTGCCATCTTATCCAGGTCGCGTTAGCCTCTCTGGAGATGCTTCTGAGCGTGATGAACGAATCGGTACTGAAATTACCAGACCTCGCCATGAAATTCTTCCGCCTCGTGCTTTATCTCGTCGAATTTTCTCGGGAAGCACTGTCTGTCATGTCTACGGATCTTCTAGTGGCATTGTGTCAG